AAAAAAAAAAGTAAATTGAGTAATCGCTTTTTTAAGCAGCACAATTGATATTTTCCTGTATGCATGTACACACGTATGTACATACGTACGCACAAAAAAATGTTCTATGTTGTTAGAAAATTTTATTTCTATTTAAAAAAAGGAGAGAAACTATCATCGCTTAGGACAGGGGCCCGGCGTTACGCGCCGCTCGTGCGAAATCCTCGCCGCTTGTAATAAACAACTGCCCGCGCGCCGACCGCGGGGCGGCCGCAACTCGCCGCGCGCTAGGATTTGGCGGAGGGCGGGCTAATACGGCGATTTTTAATCATTAATAACTCGTCAACTATTGCGAAAATTGCAAAATAGTACATGACTTTTCGACTCAGTTTGGCTCGCTCTATCTAAATATGAAAAAAGTACCAAGAATTCAGGAGCACCCTGTATATCTAATTTACCTAAATAGAAATCTTCCTCCTGACCGATAAGTCTATCGACCTAATTTCGAAATACGCGCGCGATATCGAAACTGGCGATACCTGCGCCGCCAGCGGCGAAAAAGTGAAAGTGACGTTTCTCTGATAGATATATCGCGGCGTTAGGAGGAGGAGGAGTATCTTAAAAATAAATTTTCCTATTTGGACTTTGCGTCGCAATATCTCCGCTCGTAGGGCACGTAGCGGAATATTATAAGAGAACCCCCCCCCCCCCCTAATTGGACCCCAAGCTATCGATCAAGCCTACTTAGAACTTGATCCGTTCACTCGTTATCGAGATCTCAACATCTCGGGTACTCGCAACCCGTCGCGTCGCGTAAAAGAGTCACGGTCGGTCTCGCTCCGCGTGTACTTGGCGCGAGACACTACCGTGTCTCTTGATAAATATTTATTTTAAAAAATAATGTAGGAAAAAGTTTTTTGGGTAAATATCCCGTTTAGGGGACCCACTTCCGATGACCTTGAATTTGACATATATTGTCAAGGACACCCTCCCGAGTAACATGCAAGTGATTTTAGTCAGGGATCGCTTTTGATTAAAAAGTTATTAACAAAAAAATTTATTGCTTTAAATGTTGTGTTTTGGTAAAGCAGCGACTTTCTCGCGAAATAAAGTATTCTCTGCTTTAGAAAAAAAAAACGTAATATTAGTTGTTTATGCCTTCTAATATTCAAAATAACTGCTATATTTTCCAAATTTTTTTTGTTAATAACTTTTTAATAAAAAACGACCCCCACTAAAATCACTTGCATGTTACTCGGGAGGGTGTCTTTGACAATATATGTCAAATTCAAGGTCATCGGAAGTGGGTCCTCTAAACGGGATATTTACCACATGGGAAAATATATATTACAATAAAAACTGTCACATTATTTAATCTATATGATATGTACGTCATTGTTTCATATCTATAGCAACGAAATTTGGAGTAGGCAAAGCAACTGCTTTTCGAGCATTGAAACGTGTTACGTATGCTCTCCGTTATGTTGCACCTCGATTTATTACATGGCCGAAAGATCAGGTTGCTGTAAATGTAATGGAACAATTCGAAAGATCATGCGGCTTTCCCAATGTAATCGGAGCTATTGACGGGACACATATTAAAATCCGAGCTCCCTCTGAAGATGCAAACTCGTACATAAATCGAAAGGGTTTCCATTCTATAAATGTGCAAGTAGTATGTGATTCTCTCAGTTGTTTTACACACGTATATCACAGTATATACAGTAGCGCAACTCTCCCGATTTCAGCGTGGATGAAAATGAACTGCACATGCGCGTGCGAGGTATGTAACCAATCAGAGCACTGATATTCTGTCTCACTTCTGCTCACTTCCTCTCTGTATTTTCGCTCTCTGTCAGCACCGTTGAGATGCTCCATGCAGGACATTTAAATGGCCGTTCAGTAGAAAGTGGCGGCAACGGACATCTGATGTGATCTGATGCGAGAAATAATAAAGTGATAAAGTGGTGAAGTAATAAGTCCTCAGTGAATAGTGTACAGGTGTTTAGTAAACGGTGCAAGAAAACCGAGAACAAATTATTTTCCTTACGGAGAATAGTTAATCTGTACAAAAATTGTACAGATTCTCGATTCTCTTATAAAAGAAAAGCACTTTGGTCTTAGCTTTGTTGCAGGTATTCGTAAAGAAATCTTGAGGGAAAATTTGGAAGAAAAAATGGCCCATCAATCAAGCGCGTGGTGTGTTGTTCGGGAATGCAATAAAAATATTGTGGAAAAACGACATTTTTTTCGGTTTCCAAAGGAACATGAAAGGTATAATGATTTTATTTCATTTATTAATTATTATTTTTTAAAACAAGTATAAATTTACATATAAAATACTATTTTGATATTTCTAAATGTATGTATATTATTATGTGCATGCATATGTATATATTATTACAATATTTCTTTACATGAATAATATTTACAGATGGTTGCAATGGATACGTGCTTATGAAAGATTAGATTTGGAAGCAATGGGTGCAGAATATGGCCATCGCAATTACCGATTGTGCCTCTTACATTTTGAAGAAAAGTGGTACAAGATAAGTAAGAGTAGAGCTCATCTTCAACCAGATGCTGTACCAACAAAATTTTTTGGAAGAAAGTAAGCCCATACACATCTTATAATGTATAATCTTTTCTATTTTAAATAATGTGGTTTTTTATATTCAATAGTATATTGTATATTAAACAATATCAAACAATATTTTTGATAATATACACATTAATTAATGATATTGCATATAATTTATAGCAATGCATGTATTACAACATCAGCAAATGAAAAGATGAATGAAGAGCTACCTGAAAAAGAAAATCTTTATATTTTACAACAAGAGGAAACAAATAGGTACTTAAATATCTGAAAATGTATTTATCTTTCTATTATAGATAGTATTTTGTTCTTATAATTAACTTTTTTTAGACATTTTTTATTTAGCAATGAAAAGTAATATTACACTAAAATGGTATGTTTCAGTGACTTACAGTCGAAATCATTCCCGCCTACAGAGCAGATGCCAAAATGTGATAAAAATGTCCATATTGCTAAGCCGTACGTATTTGTATTTACATTATATACATACATATGTATTTTTATAATATATTATTTCTTTTATACAGTTTTTTATAATCAGTCTGTAGATTTTGATTTAAACTTACAACTTATTACATTCCATTTTATGTTTTTTTTTCTTTTAAAAATTGCATTCTGCATTTAATATAACAAGACATAAATAATATTACGTGAGAGTAATTGTATTTATAAAAACAATTGTCTTATTTTAACATGTCTGCATATACATATAAGGAATACATGCATATATAACATAATTTTAAATAAATAAGTTTATCAATACCATCTCTATTTAATTATAATATTCAAATATAAGTTTTTCAAGATTTTATAATAAATATTTGGTTTATTTTATTTTTATATTTTTTTGTTATTGGCATTTCTAAAATTGTAATTAATACTTCAACTTTCTTTCTAGAATTTTACTATCTGTTTTTTGCTATAATATATGTATATGTTATGTATAGGAGCACGTCCAGCAGCACACGCTCAATAAGAAGAGAAGAAAGTCCGCGGAAGAAAAAATTGCAACAATGCATTGTACGATTACAAGGGAGAGTAAAAACACTGGACGAAAGAAACAGACGGCTTCAGAAGAAAGTGAAGATTTTAACTATAAGAAAGAAAAAAACAGAAAAAGAGAAGCTTAAGGACCATGAGATTCTACGTCAATTAGGCTGTAAGTATTTTTCTCCGACTTTCGCACTATTGTTACCTGCCCAAATTGATGCGCAAATTAAAAGCAAACGTGGAAGGCGGTATAGTTCCGAATTTAAACAATTTGCTTTAGGTATATACTTTCTAAGTCTGCGATGTTATAAAGAACTTCAAAAAGAATTAGCATTACTTGCCATACGCAGTCTACATAAGTTTACACAAACGTGGCAAATTAAACCTGGTATAAATGATAAAATTTTTTATGTGTTAGCTGTAAAGTTAAATTCATTGCCAATTGCCACTATTAGAACGTCATTGCATTTTGTGCATAGATGCAAGCATATACTTTCACGTGTTTATGTTATAACAGTTTATGGTCATGGTAATAACAACTTATAATTTTCTTAATCTTTATTTTCTGTTTGCATGCTATGTTTATAATAAATAGATTTCATAGTTACATACAGTGTTATAAGTATTAAATATTAAAGTTTTAACTGTAAATATTAAGTTACTTTTTTTCCACTCTTTCTTTGGTTCGTACTGAGGTGGATCGAGTAACTGAAGTACGGACTAATGATTGAGTTGGACACAAGAAATTAATAAATATATTTTAGGTATAAGAATATTAGGAGTCAAGACATTTTGTTATGTTTTACACAAATTGCATATTTTTATTATTGTATACTTTTAACTTTATTTAGTATGACATTCTTTTATTTTTATGTATTAATATTTGTCAATAAAATTTCTATTTTATATATGTATGCTTGGAACTGACTTTGTTAACTTACATTAAATATATTAATATGTGTTTTTTTTATCTGGCCGCATTAGTCCCGATGAGGCTAGGTGCCATTATAAAGGAAGAAGAAGATTTACTATGTGTTTGGTTGGTGTAAGCTATCTATGATTCTCTTTTAGCTACTTTTTTTCACTATTCGCATTTCTATACACACTATCTTTTACTTAACCCTTAAATGACCAGTGGGGTCCAGCGGACCCCAGACCGTTTAGAATGAGATGTTTTCAAATGTTCTTGCCAAAAATGGAGCTCATGCTCCCATTGATGACAGTTGAGTGATTGACCTACCCGTGTGTACACTTGCAGTACTCAGTTTACTTAATTTTTTATACTATATCGAAATTGAAATTTGAACAATATTAGCATTTTATACTCTTCTCTAGACCTTGAACAACATTGAAAAAAATTGTCATAACTAAAGATAAAAAAATCAATGAGTAAGGAGACATTTTTCTGGCTGGGGTCTTTTAGACCCCTCAGTGAACTTACGAGATTCTTGAGAGGTGTGGCATTTAAGGGTTAAACTATATTTAACATTCTTTTTACATCTTATGCACTTTTTATTATTTTTTATTTTGTTGTACTATTCTTTAATTTGCATGATATTTACATATATATTATTGTATTATTTATATAATTAAGTCTTTGTACGTTTTGTTTATTTTTTATTATTTCATAATTTTTATTTATTTTTTTTTCCACAGAATATTGCCACCACGAGTCATCAACTTATTTACATACTTTTTATCCGCTTTTGAAAAGAGTATGTAACAGATTTAACTTTTATTAGTTCTTTTATTAGTTCTTTCATTTCGTTTACTTTGTTATTGCAATTATCATTGCAGAAATCATGTAACTTGACAGTTTATACATTTGTCACATATGCATATACCTAATATACATATACATAGTTGTCATTGTGAATAAAAAGAATGAGATAAAATTAAGTTACAAGTTTTATTATATAATTTTCTTAATATTTCCTTGATATTTCCTTTTGTGATCGTTTAAATATTGATAGCATAAATAATTTATTGATTTGTGTTATACAACTCGTGTATAACACGAAGAAGTAATATGGCACATTTGTACAATTGCTATACAAATTATTAAAATTTATCTGTATTTTGTATATACCTATATATTGTCGCGGCTTTTTGCACTCCCGGACTGCGCCGGGACGTGTGCCGGATCAAAAGGGGAAACGGAGAGAAAGGTGACAGGCCTCTCCGACGATTCAGGTGACACTTCGCGAAACGATTTTGCTGTTGGGCGCCAGACGCGTGAATTTGCGTCCGCAAAATCGCGAAAGAAAACCGAGACGAGACGCGAGACGAAACGTGCGGACGTGCGAGGAATCGGCTAGCTCGACCTAAGGGCTGGGGCGGGGGTGATAAAGGGCAGCGCGACATCCGGTGGAGTGACACACCATAATTAAGGCCACGAAACTCGAGCGATTAACAAATCAAAAGTAACATTTATTCTTTCGTAATTCGCGGGTGAAATAATACATGCCGATTCGGCTTCAGTCAATCAAACAAATCAAATAATTAATCGCGCGAGCATCAGAAATAAAACAACAAAAATAATGATAGCGCGGACGTCAGAAATGAACGGAGTATTCCGTTATCGTATAGTAAACGCGCAGAATGCGTTGCGATTAGATCAGAGAAATACAGTAGGATGAAACTCATAATTAATATGGAACATCGACAGTAAACACGAAATAATCCCGGAAATAGAAAATCTGGTCTCGCAGGAAAGATCGCGAGAGGACGGTACGTCACGCTCGAAGCGCGTGAACGCCACGTATAGAGTCGCACGAGAATTCTGTCGCCAATTATCTTAAGCCTAACGCCAGTGGAATTGTGGTGTAAGCCGCGGCTCAACGTAATGAGGACCGTACGCAACGCAATAACGCTAAAAGACGCGAAATCTTATAACTAACGCGAATATACGGACTTAATCTAACGCACGTAATAACTAAAGTCAACGCAAATCATTCTGATCGAATTCGGCACCTTGTCTCCCGTGACTTTCGAACGCGACGAATGATACGCCGAGGTACTCGGCATAGCGCGATATACGGGAACGAACGCGAGGAAATTTATGCGGAATTACCGCGAGCAATAATAATACGCAATCACGACGGCACTGGGCCGATCGCGAGAATGAAGTAAATCACGCGATTAACGTTCTCCCGCCCGCACGACTACTTCTTACACGCAATTACCGAAACACGCATCCGAACATAACTAGCCACTAAGTACTCACAGCAAAATACAACGTAATCAAGAATGTCGAACTACGAATTTCCCATCGAAGAGCATTGTACGTATTACAGCTGAATTTTTATTGTCAAAACGCCCTAACGGTTATATCTGATTACAGCGTATTACATTCGACAATTTCGTCTTCTCCGTCCGATGGAATTAAAGGAGTTTGCGCGTAATATTACGACTTTCGTTCTACTTCTATGCGTTCGTTTTATGTAATAATGTTCTCGGGAATACTTCTCTTTGCGTATATAATTTGAACACTGAGGATGGTTCGATATTAAAACGGAAACATTTGTAACTATTTTTGTATTATTACACTGAATATATTAACACTGTCATCCTGTTACGGCTCGTTGCCCTTTATTTATTTATTTGATTTATTATTTAAATCTGTAATATCACAGTGCACGTACAATTGCAGTAACGGTAAGTGGAAGGTAGTCCGTATGGTAACAAACCGATCTAGATACACTTACTTCTATGTTCATATTGGTCATGCGAGAGTCAACACAAAGTTTAGTTATACGGCGTTGGTACTCATGTAAGGCGTAGGGCTTCGAGACGCTCACCATATATACCTCAGATAGACGAGACTCGTCCTGGGTACCGCACGCGCTAAGATACTCAGTCGCACACTTCACCATTTATACCTTTGTTTTTACGTTTGTCATTAAACTATAATTAATAGTAGCCGCAAGTTTATTTCGACCTCCAACAATTGGTAGCAGAGCATGGTTGTAAAAAGCAATCCCAGTTTATCGAAACGAGGCTAAGAAAAGACAACGTACGAGGAACGTGAGTGAACGAGCAATGGCGGACAAAACGGCCTTGCCCACAATCCCGTTGCTGAGGGGAGACAATTATTTCCATTGGTGAGTTAAAATGGAATCCGTCTTGCAGTTAAAAAGACTGCTGAGTGCCATAAACAATGATAGGCCAGTAGGAGACGATATGAAGAGAGAGCAAGCAGAATGGGACGAGAAAAATGCTGACGCCGTAGCGTGCATACGACTATCGTTAAGTGACGAACAAGTATTGCAGTTTGCTACCGTATATAGTGCTAAACAATTATGGAAATCAATACTCGACGCGTACACGGGACCAGCGGAAGACCGAGCGATTGATGCTGGAGAGGAATTCCGGAACATCAGAATGACAGATGACGAAACGGTCAGCGAGTACATAAGCCGTGCACGAGGATTAGCGGTAAAATGCAATGCAGCCGGTTTACACGTATCCAATCGTCAACTGGTTTACAACGTCGTCAAGGGACTTCATCACTGATTCAGTCAAACCCGTGAGATCCTAAAAACTCAGAGGGAAAAGAGGTTAGACGAAGTCCGGCCAGGAAATCCTCAAGGAGAAAGAAAGGGACCTATAGAAAAAAAATGTAGGAAAAAGTCAGGAGAAAGCGTACATGGCACGTGATCGTAAGAAAAAATACAACAATAAGAAGAAATGCTTTGTTTGTGGGAAGTTGGGTCACGTGGCGAAAGACTGTTACCATCGGAAAGACAGACAAGGTCAAACCCCCAAAAATCGTGGTAAACACATGAACGATAGTAAAGGTAACAACTGTAAGAGAGCGGAAAAGGTAGATGCCGTTAATTTTCAGACCTTTAACGTTAATACATGTCCGAAACTTAAATATAACAATTGGATTATAGACAGTGGTTGTACGTCGCATATGACTAATGATAAGAAGAATTTTGTAACGTTTAAATCGATTAATAATAAAGTTTATTTAGCCGGTCGACAAAATGTCATAAGGTCAAAAGAAATAGGCTCTATAAAACTTAAAGTGCGAAATGATAAAGATATACCAAATTATGTAATAATGCACGATGTTGTATATGTTCCTAATTTGCGCAATAATTTGCGGTTTGTAATGAAGTTAATGGACCATGAATTAGAGGTTAACTTTATAGATCACGAAGT